CATCCTGTTTATTTATATAATCTCATATACATTTATTTTTCCTTCAAAACCACACTGCCCAGTTGGCTCCTGTGAGGGCTGAGGAGTTCACCTGCCCTGCCAAGCGGCCCAGCAAAGAGGCAGGATGTGACCAGTACTGTTTGGACATGCAGCACTCCCAGCTGAATGCGAAGAGCGGGAGGAAAAACTTGCACAAGACCTTTAGAAGAGGAGAGGAAAAGGAGCATAAACATAGAAAAGACTGTTCAGATGGCACAAACTAATTTTAAACCTAGCTTTAAACATTTAACTGCCACATGTTTGGTCCCCACAAGGTCTGAGAACAGGCAGCCACAAGGTGTTCTGATGCCTTCCAGATCAGCCTGACACTCACCCTGCCTAAACACTCAAGGTGAAACAGTGGTAAAAAGCCTCTAAGGGCTGGAAGGTTTTTAAATATCAGGTAAAGCAGATTTGAATTGAGGCTATGCTATTTTTAAGACAGTACCTTCCTGATTAACTTGGTATTGGCATTCAGCACCCTGTGCCAGGGCACTGCACATCTTCACTGACATCCAGAGTACTTCAAAAAGGCTTTTACCATCTCCCAGCACAAGCTTCAGGACAGAGCTGTTCCCTGGGCCTTTTAAAACATCTTTCCACAGGGAAAACCAAATCTGAAACTAAGTTTTCAAATACTGCACAAATCCTACAACAATCCCCCACTGTAAGGAGGAGGACTGAGATTAGAAACATGCTCCCTGAGCTACATTTTTCTCCATCCACCTCCTTGAAATATTATTTCAAGCTTCCCTTCTCCAACAGCTTTTATTCTTGTCCAGAAGCCACTGGTTATTGGCTCCAAGTGCCATTGATCCGCCAATCCTTTTTTTCTTCAGCAACAAAGGTATCTTCCTTGGACTTGAGTACCAAAGGTCTCTGCAGCATTTGGTTTATGAAGGTTCTTCAAGGAAGAAAAATTAGTAAACAGCAGATTTATATAGAAACAAGTGCAAAGGTAAATGGGAGAGAGACAGCTTTTCAGTTCCAGAAATGTTGATGGGAAGCAGTACAACATTTCCTTCCTCCCTTTGGGAGCTATGAAAAAACCAGCAGAGACACCTCAACAAAGGGCATGAGTTGGAATTTCTGTCTTAGGAAGAGTAGTTGCACTATTCCAAACTTTCAACTGGCAAAGAAACCAGAGAAGAAGAAGCAGGACTCAGAAAAGAAGGCAAACCAAGTTTTCTTCCATACTTGTGTGGCAGGACACTGTTCTCCTCTTTTAGTGGCTTTTCGTCCTGGCTCTTGAGCTTCCCATCCTGCCAAAAGGGAACATTCACCCATCAGTGGCACTACACCCAGACTCCAGTTTCACCCCTGCCATGCTACACTGTGAGACTTTCCATTGCTATTTCAGGAACACTGCTCTGTCCCTCTGTGGCACAGAGCTGTACTGGGCACATGGAAGTGCCCCAACACCAGCCCCCCCCAGGAGCAGCTCTACAGGCTTTCCTGTTGCTGTGATCAAACAAGGTGACTTCACATTTTAGAGATGGACTCTTAACCATGTCCAGTGACCTCCTTTTACCAGAAGGTATGAGAATCTTCACAGGCACCATTTTTTATTTGAACAGCAGAGGCTTTTTAAAGACTGATGAATGAGACAAATCCTCTCTGCCAGGAAAGGAAACAAGTCCTCCCTGGGTCACAGCCTCAGCCATGTACCCACACCCAGCACACTGGAACACAGCTGCCAACCAGCAGGCACTTGCCAGCACAGGGAATGCTGGCAGAGCCACCCACACCTGCATCCCTCTCAAGTTGCGACCACAACATCAGTGGAACCACCTCATTTCTGTACCTGCAAACTGCCACCACATCAAGCACCACCAACCAGTTTTGTGGCAAAAGAGAAGCTTGTTCTGAAACGGCTTTTTTGCAGGTTGGCCCCTTCCTCCCCCGTGGGAACACCCCCCTGGTGCTACAGCACCAAGTGAAGGGGTATAGCCCCTCCACCGGAACCTGCTCTCAAACCAGGACAGGCAGCAGAGAAGAGCAGCTTTCCTGCCTGCCAGAGAGCTCAATAACTTCTGCTTTCAAGATCAGACTACCCAGTTTTGGGACTGGGGATTTCTTGTTTTGATTCTTACTGGCCAACTTAGTTCCTGCACTTAGTTCCTGATTCCTTCTGCTTAATTGTGCTATATCAAACATCACCTTTTTGATAAATGAGTCATGATGCGTGAGTAACTTCACTGAAATGATGTGTAATTTTGGTAAAAAAAGGAAAACCAGAACAGTTCAAGCAGCCCAGGGGAGCCCAGTGAAGGCAACTCTCAAGTGCAGCAGCACGTGTGACAATGGCAGAAACAGCCTCTATTACTTTGTAGTTCTCATAGCTGCAAGTTTTGCTCTTCCAGAGCCAATTCCCAGCAAAAGAACATGCTTTGTTTTACAGAAAAAGCTGCAGAGCAGGTTTCCCCATTTTCAAAGGCAAATTCATTGCTGAAAAGGGAGTTTCACTTGGGGACTGAGAGTTTTACACTCACTGGGTTTTACTTAAAAAAACCCACTGAATTCACTAATGTTCACTGAGAATAAAGTGATTGATGATGCCCTCAAAAAAGAATTTTTTCTTCCAGGTTTTACTATTTACCACTCTAGGGGGAATTTCCCTTATTACAATGCAATAAAAATAAAACCAAGTGGGTCTGCTGTTCCTACAAAACAGTGAGCACACTTTCTCTCTCCTGCTGTATTTTATTAAACAAGTGAAGGGAAACAACAATCGCTGTCAAGATTTTGTCAGGCAATGCAGTGAAGAGCAATGCTTGCAGTATTTTTGTGATGTAAAAAAATTTCCAAAGCTCATTTTGTTTTGGCACATCCATAATACCTACTTCTGCCTAATAAGGAAAGACAAGTTTCAAAAACCAAACTTGCTGCTCAGAAAAAACAAATTGAGCAAAATGAAACCACATTTCAAACACAAGCCAAGAATAAAAGACACACTACCTGTTTTAGCCAATTCTTTGCACCTTTTTTGTGTTCCTGGCTGGGGTGGTGACTGTGTGACCATCTGTCCCTTTCCCTCTTCAGCTCTAGTTCAAGTTGGCTCCTAGAATATGGAACTGTGAGTAAAGACTGTGGATTTGTAACACCCAACATCAAGAGCAAAGGAACTGTTTCACCCTCTCTTTACACTACAGCAACTGAATCCCAATTCAATAGCTGAAAACTGCCTCTTTGAATAAAAAGTTAAGCCATAATATGTCAGAAGGGAAAAATGTTAAAGCTCCTTTAATTGCAGCACAATGTTTGCAGGAAAGAAACCTGTTGACTAAGCCTGCAAGTCCTTAAAAAAACAGGTATTCATCTATTAGAGAACTGTTGATCAGGGCCCCATTCAAAAAGACATTCTTCAATTTGTCAACTGTTGCAGAACACACACTGGAACCCAAGTCAACATCCTTGACCTTTTACCAAAGCCATCCACAGGGGATGGATGGACTGTTCCTCCCTGAGAGCTGTGACAATTCTCCTGACACCTCTCCTGAAAGTGGAGCTTTGTCCTCGTGGAGCATCTGAGGGCTCCTCCCTGGAAGTGCTTTGCAGCCTGCTCTGCTCCTGACCTTGGCTGAGCACGTGAACAAGTCAGGACTGGGGCCAAAGAAGGAGAGGTGAGACCAGTGGCTGCAGGCAGGATGGATGGGCTGTTTCAAAGACTCCAAAAGCCCTGGTCTGGCCTGTTAGAAGGGATGACACACGCTCCTCCTGGGCTGCTAAGCAGGGGTGTCAGCCCTGGGCAGGGCTGCCCACCAACCACTGCAGCACCTTCCAGTAACTCCTTGCTTTAGAAACTCAGTGAAATAAAGCAGTACAGCCTCCCAGTAAAGGAGGTCAAATCATTTTGATGCTGTCATCTGAAAGGTCCAACTGATGCAAAAAACAAACCAATGTGCAAATGCTCTCCCTGGGCAGCTACACAGCAAGTTCAACTGACTCAGTGTAAGGTGCACACATGGAGAAGATACATTCCCCCTTTTTCCCCAGAACCCTGCTAAGCTCACCTATGTACTCCCAGGCCCTGGTAGGAATATCTGACAAGAGCCATTTACTGGCTTTATGGGTACCCTGGGTAACTTTCTGAAAAAGGAAACAAAAGGTGTGCCAGGAAGAGAGGAGGGGACATAAAACCCCCATACCCAGCAGTGTTTCCACCCAATTAATTCAAGTGACCTTGCAACAAACTGAAGCTGCCTCATGGCTGCAGAAGGGGAGATGCTCTTCTATTTTAAGGTAAGAGGACTTCTCTGCTTTCCTGACACTGGTAACCTGATGACACTGCAGGGGAAAATATGATAGCCCTCACCAAGTTATTTACATTCGGCTTTCAGCTTTTTGGTTGGCTTCCAGTTTTTTGGTTGCCTCCCAGCAAAACTGAGACCAGTTTCAGCAGTCAGATTGATAACCAGGACTGACAAGCCCTGCTCCAAACTCTCCAGTGTTACCTTTAAGGGAAGACTTAACTGCAAATGGTTTATTTTTACTGTTACTTTCAGATTCCAATTTGTTATTTTACAGCATCTCTCCAGCACCCCCAACAGCTTTGTGCTGACCTCTGTCCTGTCCTCTCCCTGATTATCACCCTAACAAATCTCCCCACAGTGCAGAAAGTCCCCATGGACATTTCTGTGGTCAGAAAAATGCCCTGACCTTTCACTGCCAGCCAAGGGATGCTCTGCAACCTGCTTCTGACGTTCCATTGCCACACAGGGTTCGTATTCTTTGCTAGTGGTGTTTGCTGACCAAGCAGTTCTTTTGCATCTTCCTCTGATCTGATTTATCCCAAGTTGTAACTTCAACCACACGCCTATGAAAAGATTTGCCATCTCCCAAAGCATCTCACCTCCCCCAGAGCTCCTCCTGCTTGCTGGCATCAAGAAATCCCACTTGTCTCTCTCCACCTCCAACCCCCTGAACTCCTTTCTGTGACCACCCTGCCTGCTTCCTGATAGACCCAGTAAAACCAGCTCAGCAAACAGATCAGAACAAGATCTCTTCACCGCTGCCTGGAGAGCTCTTCCACCTCGAGCTGGAGGCTGTTGATTTTGTCGCCAAACTCCTGCTTGAAGAGCCGGTTGTCCTGCTGGGCCAGCTGACGGTCCTTCTCCGCCTGCCGCAATCTGGATTGGAGCCACATGAACTTGTGATAAAAAACAAAAGCCACGGTGGGGAGGAAGACTGAGTTCAACCAACAAATTTAAAAAAAAAAAAAACAAAAACAACAACAACCCAGTGAAAAGGTAAAGGAAAAAAAAAAAGGAATGGTAAAAACAATGGAAAGGAGGAAAAGCTCTTAAAGAAAATCAGGATGTAGGTGAACCAGGCAGAAGCTCTGATTTTCAATGGTTTTTATTCTATTACTACAGTTTACAGCCATTAGATGGAAAACATAAACCACCACTTTTATCCAGATTCAAAGCAAATCTCAGGTACACAGGATTTTAAGTCGGGCTTGATTTTAAATGTACGTTACATTTCAGCTTTACATGTGTAACTGGAACTTGCAACATAGGTTAGCTACTATACTGGGAATTAGTGCATTTTCCTGGTCTCTTCCACGGGCTGCCAGGTTGGCTCCCACACCCAGGCAGTGGCACCCCAAAGCATCTCTGCTTGGGGCCTGACATCAGAAACAGACAGATCCTCATTCTGCCTTGTTTCAGCCTTACTGTGACACCAAACAAAACCAGCCCAGTCTCCTCTTCCTACAGCAGAAATCTGGGGAGGGGCAGGGTTAGTTAACTGCTCTAACTAGCTGCTTGGATACCTTGGTAAAAGCTTCCAGCTTCTTATTATTGTTTTTCTCCAGGTAGTTCAAATGCATTTCCAGTAAAAGGTGAAGTTTATACTCCCAAGCATGCTACTTGGGCATGGGCCAGAAATCTACAACAGGTCCCCAAGGCTGCCTAGAAGCCCCTGAAATGCCCCAGGTGGTGGCACATGCTCGGGCACCCAGCTGGGCTGAGCCTCACAGGGTTTTCAACCCACCTAGTGAGACTTACCCAGTGTTCTTTCCCCAGTTACTGCTCCGAGGAGCACTATGCCACAGGACAAAGGGAGAGCTGCCACCCCAGAATTCAACAGGCATCTTACCAGAGCAAAAAAGCCCCTATGCAACACAACTACCCCCCCAGCTAGGATCTTCTTGAAGTAAAAAAGATCTCTAGGAGCACTTCCAACCTGAAGCCTGTGACAGGCCAGCACTGTGAACTTTGGCAGCCAGAGGAAGAGGATATTGGTTTATAATAGTCCAAGCTACAGTAACTTAAAGTTTTTTTGCACTGGAGTATTAAATTGGCAATTATTTCTCCTGCTGAGAGCTTTTTCCAAGCTTTAGCTGTCACCTTTCAGTAGCAAATTCCACTTGTACCGAGCAACAGAAACCCAGAGGCAAACGAAGGAAGTGCAATAGTAAAAGGCAACTCTCCCTTTTCAACCACTAACTGCTCAGGCAAGGAATGGTCAGGGACCAAATTACCATTTCCATTCCACACCACTGCACATCTGGTTCCTTTCCCTTTTGCATCTTTTTGTTGAAGCATTAGAGGATAAAGATCAGATTATTTATTGTAAAATGTGTAACTTTCCTTTCCTGGAAGAGGACAGACCTACCAACACACTTCTCAGCTTCCTTCTGTTGGGCAGAACTGCAGTGTCTAAGAGGGATTCATGGCAGAGGTAGAAGGCAATGCAAAGATAAGGAGGTTTCCACTGAACTTACCACTCTATCATGTTACTCTAAGACATCTAGCTACTAATTCTGGACACATGAAGTTTAAAGGAATAAGGTTAAGTCCCACCCTCCCACCAAGGGGGTTGGGGGCAGTCTGGGTGACAGCAGGGTTGGCCTTCCCCGCGAGGCGCCGAGTCGCACCCCTTCGCCCAGCACAGGTCAGCGGGGGAACGGCTCTGGGGGACGCACACAAACTACTTTCAACAACTTCCAGGGATGCATTTTTTATGTCTACTTCACAAAAAAGGGGAACACAGAAAACTAGCTGACTTGCCAGAGCTGGCCAATCTGATATTGGCTGGACCAATGCACCCGTGCATTGCAATCCACAACTGCTGAAGACAGGGAATGCATCGCCGGGATGCGCGGAGCCAACTACCTCCCAGTCCTTACGGTGTGTTTTTATTGGCCAACTCCTTGGTTCTTTAACACAGCTTAAAGGGCAAAGTTAGGGATTTTCACACCCAACCCTAAATCTCTGAAGAAAAAAAACCTCACTGGTTTTAAAAATTCAGTAAATTCCAAATCAACTTTAGGTGACAATTAACATTTTAACAGTTGCTTTTAGCAATTCTCAAGTTCTCCCCTCATAAATGAGTTCTGATGTCAGGAGCTGTGATGTGACCAGACATAAAAATGTCTAATGATGCTTCTGGATCAGTTTGTTTGCTGCACTATTTAAGGTTTTTGCCTGTTTCACCAAATCCTTTTCACTGTATAAATAAGAATGAGGATGATGAGAAAATGGAAAAAAAATAAGAACAGCAAGAGAAAGAGAGCAAATCAATTAGCCAAGTAGATGTAATAAAATATTTTAAAATACACATTTTCTACAAAAAAAACAACCTTTTAAAGAAAGAATCATTCAGCATATAAGCCCTAAAATGAGAGCATTAATTTAGTACATTGACTTACTCATTAAACAAGTCCCAGACACATTGCTGAGAGCTACTGCTTTCCCCTGGTTTTGTCAGAGCTACCAAGAGAGTCAAGACAATTTCCTGAGACTGAAGTTCTGAACCTTTGGCCAAACCACCAGACAGCCTGGTTTCAAGAACAAGACAAAAGGGGAAAAGGCGCACTGCTCTGTCTCAAATCCATCAGACATGAATGCTGAGGCCCTACTACTTCCATGAGAGTTAGTAACAGGAGAGATGTTAGATTGGGATGGAACTTGGCCCAGTCCAAATGGATATTTAACCTATGGGCTACCTCTACCAACCTCTAGAGGCAGCCAGGCCTCATCTCCCTCCATTTACTGTCACAGGAGGATGTTTTTCAAGCTTATCTACCCCAGAAAGTACCAAGCTGTTCATAAAGAGAATGGTTCAGTTAGGGGTGCCTTTTTCCAAGAGATCTGGAATAACCAAGCATCTGCTGCACACTTGTCCTTCCTGCTCCCACTGAAATCCTGTCCTAAACAGTAAAGCACTTCTCTCAAATCATATTTCTACTTTTTTTTATCAATGCTGATGAAGACAGTGAATGACTTGTGATGACTGGTTAACATCCAAAAGTGCAGCTGATGTACTTAAACCAAGCTGGTATGTTAATTACTGGTTTAGTAGCATATTCTTTTTCAATGGAAAGCCCTCCTGCAAAATCCTTCTAACAGCACCTCAAAAATCACAGCTCTCCCATTTGGCTCAGTTTAGCAGTGGCTAAGCCAAGCACTCAAACCCTCAACCTGGTTCCTTGAGGGTCTGTGGGACACCACCACTACAGCACAGAAGTGATTTTATAATTGCACAAGTTTCCATTTTTTTACCTTTGTTCCAGCTGTTTGATGGTGGCAGCCATCTGATTTGTTTTTTCTTCCAAACGACTGTTTAATTCACTCTTCTGTTTCACTCCCATGTCTGAACTCTGGAAAAAGGAGTGTGATGGGTTTTTTATAAGCAGCAGCAAAACCAAAACCAACTATGTAGCATGTGAGGCAGAAGGGGCAGCAGAGAGGCAGGGAAAGGTGCTTAAAAAGCAAAGGCCAGGTCAATATTGCAAGGACAAACATTTAGCCATACATATGCAGGCTACAGCTGCACAACACCATAAATAACTGTTCTGCACACAATGATTGGCCCAAGGATAGTAGAAGAAACTCTTGCCTGTTCTAAAGTTTATTTTCAGATTTCTTGGAGCATTTTGTCTTGCTCTTTGCCTTAAGTCTGCTTTTGTCATCACACAGTCTTGTATAGAATTACACCCTGTGCCTTCCAATACTAGGTTGCACTGGAACAGAAGCTCAGCTTTTGTACCACAGAACCACAGGAGGTGGTTTCCACATTTCCTTTGACCTTCAACATGTTCCACTGCTCAGGTACTTGCAGCAAGACAGAAGCAGACTGTACAGCCTGTAACCCTTGCACACCTACCACCTTTTCAATAGGTAGTGGGGAAAAAAGCAACAAGAGCCATCGCTTTTCTCTGGAATTCACTGCATTTGACTATTTCCCTACCTGCAGCTTGAAGGACAGTTCATGCTTTAGGGCCCTAAGATCATCCAGTTGCTGTCTGAGTGCCACCAACGCATCTTGCTTCTCACAAACATCCTTCTCCAGCATCTTCATGGCCAGCTCCATCTCCTGTCGCATCCCAATCTGCACCTCCAGCTCTTTCTCCACATCCTGGAACACATAGGTCAGTCAGCATTTACTAGGCAGCTTTCCTCACCATTCATGAGAAAACCACTCTCAACTGGTACTCCTGCCAGCAGTCACTACCCTAGGAGCACGCCGCTGTTTCCTGAGAACCTTCTGCTCAGGCACTTTTCTCCCCACCAGCTGAACACAGTTCAGATAGTGGCAATACCCTTATCTGCAAGGGGGATATGTCAGACTAGTGCACTGCTCATTCTGAGAAAGAGCCCTCAAACTGACCAACACAGCTACAAAATCAACATTGCTTCTGACCAGACTGTCTCAGATCCAGCTGAAGCAGGCAGACAAGAATCAGAGGTAAGTTCCCTGGCCCACCATTTTCAAAAGTGATTGTCTGACATGGAGCTATTACGTGAATAAGCCCTTTGTAGTGAGCTCCAAGCTCATGCAGTCCTTACCAGCCGCAGCTGAGTCTCCTCCTTTAACTGCTTTCGTGCCTCAGTCAGTGCATGTCCATCAGCAGTTCTGTCTTTAGTGACCTAAGTTAATTAAGACACCAAATTAGCTTGCCACTATAGAGTATTAACCTTACATTTGCTGACCATTTTCTTCACCCCTTTGGAAACAAATTCAGCAACTATCAAAACTCAGTGCTCCGTTCAGTGAAGGCAGCATGCAGCTCCCATGGGAAAAATCTTCTCCTTCCCTGTTCCCAAGGTGCTCAGGGCATGTCCAGGGACAGGAATTAAATGCACAGACTACCTGTTTTCAGGACTTGCATGGCACACTAAGTACAGTTACAACACCTCAGAAAAAGATCTGATGGGTTTTAAAACTGAAACCAGGTTCTGC